TTTTCCTGCAGACTTCATTTTCAAACTTTACTTTTAAGAAGTCGAATTTTATATTATCCTTTAATGTGATATCTTTCCATGTTGTTTTACACCAACAATTCTGTGTGCAGTTCTTATTTTTCCCATCATATACATTTGTACAGTATATTGTGACCCCAAGAAATATTAAGCAATAGTTACGATATATCTTGATGTCTCACAACCATATGGACCTCCATGGCCTTTTATAGGGATAGCTTTACCTTTTTTATATGTAGATCATTCCGAAAGTCATGAGCAACTTTTTTTTGCATTCAACCTGGAACACCAGACGAAAGAGAGTACGGTGATAGGTGGAACCAGCTGTTGTGTTAACCTTGAGTGTCTTGTGATGTCAATAGCTTGCATCACGTGACCAGTATCACTCCTAACAAAATGGCTGACAACGATATGTTGTTTCGCCAGCATGCTGTCATTGAATTTCTTGTGAAAGAGGAAATCCCTGCTGCAGAAATTCCCCAGAGACTTCACCGTGCTTATGGAAGTGTGTGCATGGGTGCAAGCAGTGTTCGAAGATGGGTGAAACATTTTAAAGATGGGAACACCAGCATCAAAGATGAGCCTCGGAGCGGTTGTCCTCGAAAAGCCTCAACTGAACGCAACAAGGATAGAGTGGATGAGATCATTCAAGATGACAGGCGTGTGACTGTGGACACAATAGCCCAAGAACTTGGAATAGGGCCCAGTGCAGTACAGGAGATGATTGAAAACTTGGGCTATAGGAAAGTTTGTGCTCGTTGGGTCCTGCAGTTATTGACCGAAGACCACAAAGGTCAGCGAAAAGCCATCACCTCAGAACTGCTGCAGAGATATCAACATGAAGGTGATGATTTTTTGCTCTGTATTGTGACAGGCGACGAAAGCTGGTTTCACCATTTCGAGCCTGAAACGAAATGGCAGAGTATGGAATGGCACCATTTGCATTCTCCATCAAAAAGGATGGCAAAGACAGTGCCATCAGCTGCAAAGGTGATGGGCACAGTCTTCTGGGATGCAGAGGAGTTTAATCTGGCCAAATTCCTGGAACCTGGGCAAGTTATCAATGCTGCTCGTTATGTCCAGACACTGCACAAGTTCCGTTGTGCATTGTGCAATAAATGTCTGGGACGAAACATCATCATCCTGCATGACAGTGCTCGCCCCCACGCTGCTCACCTCACATTGGAAGCAATTGCAAAGATGGGGTGGGAAGTTATTCCACACCCCTCCTGTAGCCCTGATCTGGCACCCTCCGACTACCATCTTTTCGGATTTGTGAAGGATCAGCTGTGTGGACAACGTTTTGAGACAAGAGAGGCAATTCAGAAAGCAGTGCATCAGTGTCTTCGGATGGCTGGAATGGAATTTTACAGAAGGGGAAAAATCGAAAATGTGGCAGTTTGAACAATGGGCAGACATGAAGTGCTGCCAAAAACTAGGCATATTCCATAGCAAAACGTTTAACATGTTGAAGCAACTGTATGGCAAAGAAGCTTTGGGCCGCAGTGTGGCAAGAGGAACTGGCAAGGCAACAGGTCACCGTTTTTCCACAACCTCCATACTCACCTGATCTCGCAAAATGCAATTTCTTTGTCTTTCACTGCTTGAAAGCAAAGCTACATGGAGGTAGATTTTAGTCATCCGAGGAGGTCGTCGATGCCACAAGAGGTGCCTTATGGGAATTTCCTGCCACTATGTTTCAACAATGTTTTTGGCAGCAATATCAACGTTGGCAGACTTACATAGCAGCCAACAGCGACTATTCTGAGGGCCGATGTGTAAGTGTATGTGAATACCTTGTAATATGATCGAATAAAACCACAGTCCACGAACTTAATGACTGTACCACGTGTATGTATGTGTATAAGGAAGTACCTCATGTAACTTTTCCTTTCCTATCCTTCTTCATACCTAATATTTACATGTTCTATTAGGGCTGATTTCTCAGTTTCATTGATCATTTTTACAGATGGTAGGACCCTTGGACAAGTGATCAACTTGTCACAAGGCCTCTACCTAAACACAGGAAAACACAAACACAGAATGCATAAAACATTCTTCAGATACAGGAACTTTTTACCTGCCAACATTATTTCAGTCATCTCATTTGATATTGGATTTTATATCAATACAAACTATTTTCACTTTCTTTCTTATATCTTCACTGATTTATGGCTAAGCAGTTCATACCTAGCCACTGCTGTTAGTAAATATATGTGTTACTTCTGTTGTGCTTTTTTGTCTTTCTGTTGAAGTTCAGCATTCTGAATCATGTACTGGAATTGGCCAGACCTTTGCAAAATTTGAGTGTATTGAATTTGAGGTTCTCGAATTGGTGACTCTGAAGAGTACAGTCTTCTGGCTTGCAATGCCATGTAATTCAGAGACAGCCCTATCTTTCAGAGAAGTGTATTACCTTCATCCTTATGGATGAAGACCAAACCAAGCAAGAAACCAGGAGAAGGCAGCAAACTGAGCTGCTAAGCTGCTCTGACCCTGTGGATGAAGCTAATGCATTCCTTCAAATTGTTGGTCTATTCCCAAACTACCCTCAGAAGACTGTGTATTCAGTCTATGTACAGCTTCTTTTGTATTTTCCCAACAGATTGTTTCTGTGTTGTTCCACATTTATGCTTTTGGAAACTATGTAGCTTTGTTAACATTATCAAATTTATGCAGCCTACGGTGTAACTTAGGCAATTCAAACTTATTATCTCTTCCATTATTTATTTTGTGGTTACTATCGACAGAAAAGAAGATGTTTAATTCATTATCATTTATATAAAATTCAATTTGCCATTTTCTTATGACATTGTAAGTGTGTACATCTTAAAGAGAGCTGGTAGGGAAAGGGGGAGTACACCCTTGTTATACCCCTTGGTTAATAGTAATCATTTCTGTCTTATCCTCTCTCACTGTCACTATTTGGTTTTCTTAGTAATTGTTATGTGTTGCTATTAAAGGGGCCATGAATATCAAAGCCCCAAATGAGTGACACTGCTCCTTAAACACAAATCATAATTGAGCTCTACAGGAGTGTGAACTCAGATACTTGTTATTTAATGGTATATATACCACTTTCTTAAAGTTAATGTACACCAAATGTTTTATATATATATACCACTTTTTTAAAATTAATATGCATCAAATGTCACGTGAGGCCGTGCCATAGCTCAAGTGGTTAGTCGCTGGCTTCCCACCGCAGTAGCTTGGGTTCGATACCGGGTCTGGTCAAGTGGGATTTGCGGTGGACAAAGTGGCGCTGGGGCAGGTTTTCTCCAAGTACTTTGGTTTCCCCTGCCAATCTTCATTCCACCAAATTTAATCACCCAGGGCAGGCTACAATAGGCCAATCAGTGGCCGCTGTGCTGAGTGGACCCAGTTGGGTTCCACCCCCCACTAAGTGAAATGTCACGTGAAACTGCTGGTCCTGCTGTGAATGAGTACTGTTATTGCAAAGCAGTATACATCTGTATATTCTTCATTTTATTTGGAACTTTTCAATATTGTTGGCCAGAAGCATTCTAATCAGCCCTTTGAAAGTGCTTCAAGCCTGGCAGAATGTCATTATGCCTCCTTTTCTTTGGATTTGCAAGCATTCCAATTCTATCTATCATGCTGGTGATATTTCTTTCAGATTAATATACAATGATCTGATCTGAAATATTGAGAAACTCACCACTCTCTTATATGCAGCCACTTCAAATCCTTATCTTCAGCTTGTAAGCTAACTGAAATTAGATTTTTGAACAGTAATTTATTACCTCAATTAAGAGAAGCAAAACAATCCTGCAGCATTATTTCTCTTTTTGATATGTCATACTGTTGTTTTAGAATTTAATGTGTCTTGATGTTATTAATTGCGGTATGTCTAATGCATGATCAACGTAGGCTGGCATGCTGAATGTAATGATGTTCAGCAAGTAACCAGAGATATGGTTTTGAAATATGCCATTTCATGCTATGCTTTTAGTGCTTACTCTTGTACTTTTTAGTGTGTGTGTTGAAGTAATTAGCTATGCAGTTGGATATGTGTGTACATGTGTTACATATGCATGCAGTGGTGGTTTGGTGTATTAAATGTATAAAAATATTTTGTTTATGAATTTCAACATGGTATACTTGTTCTAATTCTTATATCAGTGAAAGTGTATCATATTTATAAATATTTTTATATAATTTTCATGATTATCTCATTATGTTTAGATAGTAATGTAACATTTATTTTCTTATTACTGCAAATACAAATGATTTATATATGGAGAAAATTATATTATATATAATTTCTTTGTTCTGAACATTTTCAGTCATCTAGGTCCATTAAATAGATGTACCAAATATTCCGTAAATGTAGATTTGTTGTTAATAGATGAAGTACTTGTAGTGTTACTTCCAGACATTTTCAGTATTACATAGACACTGTGTAGCAACTTTCAAAATACTCTTGTTATAATTATTCTTATGGATAAATATGATTATTTTTGTTCAAACTATATCAATAGGAAAATTATAATTTTTTTTCACCTAGTGGTCTTTTGAGTATGACACAGTGCAGTCTGACATGTAATAGTATGTAACCTCAAATCTTAAATTACATAAACTTTTTTTGTAATGAACATGGAATGGAAAGTGATATTCTAACAGACACCTTTTTCCCAATATCATTGGCGCAGCACATATCGAAAGTATATCTGTAATGACAAAATCAGATTATGGAAAATTTTCTATATTGTAAAATCCGTGATTTATATTTATAATCTTGCTAGTTCTTCTTTATTTGAAAGTTTCTACTTGTGTTTGGGATTAAAAGTGGATCAACAGAATTCTATAAGCTCCCTCCAATATGTTCTAATAATTTGTAATCCATGTTTATAATACATACTTTTTTAGTATGGATCTAAAATTTTTCTGTATTAAAATATATTAAATAAGCTTAAATGCCTATGGCAGTTTTAATGGTTGTATTGTCTTTGGGCCTGCAGCACCCATTGTCATGGCAAATTAGTGCAGATGGGACACGTATGATTGGACACATGATCCTCAAGAAGACAGTACGAGAAGGAGTAGGACCTACATCATCAGCAGCTATACTAGGACTTAAGGTTGTTGGAGGCAAGCTTCTTGAGAACGGTGGTCGTGGTGCTCTTATTGAAAAGGTGAAGAAGGGCAGCACAGCTGATGTGGAAGGCCAGCTCAGGCCAGGTGATTGTTGTTGTCTTAGTTGAGGAACTAGTGCATGGAATCAGATTGAATTAATACAACTTGAATAAGACATGAAAATTATTCAAAATTGATTTAATCATTACAGAGTAAATAGCAAGCAGACTTGTTGCTGCATTATGAACAGTGAAACATTTGTAGCATTTTACTGAGGACCAAGCATTTTAAATACTAGAAGCAGGAAAACATGTAAGATTTGAGTGATATAGACATGTTAATGTACTTTGTGGATTGCAGTCATATCAGTTGTATCTAGGCATATATGGAAAGATAATATTAAAATATGTATGTCTTAAGGTATTATGTTTTAAGGAGGGGGTTTTGATTATACTGACCCAGGTTAGGATTCAGTGGGAGGTATTTATGAGTGTATAATAAACTTTTGGGTTTCTTGGAAGAAAGGAATTTCTCAGTTAAGTAACCATTATCTATTCAAGGAATAATCTGCATTATGAACTTTTCACCCAACCATGATTAACTTCACCCTTTTAATTTTCTCACTGTACATTTACTAGTGTCTTCAAATATATCCTATATTCCATGCTGAAGCTTATTTATTTATTGTTCTTATATAGTTTGACAATGTTACTTCAGTTGTGTAAGTCTTACAGCATTGCTTGAGAAGAGGGGATGATTACAGATATTGATACTGAACAGAAGGAGAAGGAAGTGGTTTTAGCCTGATTTGAGATACTATTCCAGTATCTGTGTTGAAGGACTGAGTAAAACAACAAAACCTCAATGTGTGTAGCTCATCCTATAGCTGAGAATCATATGCAGATAATTCATAAATACATGTCACATTAACTACTGGCTTTGCAATTATTAACAGGGATGAATTCAATAACGAATATGAAAATAAAATTATGTTGATGTATAAAATGAAGCAGCTACTAGGATGACTTGTCTTGTAACTGTAGTGCAACAGAATGCTCAAACAGATCAGTACATCAAAGAAAAAAGATTCATTGATGAGAAGAGCGTAAGAGTGTTTCCAGCAGAGTGCACATATTATTGAAACATATTCTTTGTTTATATTTCTTCATAGTTTTGATATTCCTTTATTGCAGATATACAAAAATTTCTTCATACATTTCATCTTGCATTATCATGGAAAAATTAAGTGCCAGAAATCATTACTGTAGAGCTACATGCATATTATTAAGACATAAATAATACGTCTATTAATTTTTTTAAAAATATGTAGACATTGTTACAAATTGAAGTTGTAGATGTAGGATTTCAGGTCCTTACACTGGGGGTTATGAAGAATTCTATCTTCTGGGATATAATACCATGTAATCAGAAGACTACATGGTGTTATGTCACAGAAGACTCATATTCACATCTTTAGTTATTCTAGAAATCAATATTTTCCCATACGGCCTCCACATATAGGACAAGTCAAGTTTTATTTTATATAAGTCATCAGCACCATAGTACTTAACCACATACACAAATTGTGTACACATCACAACATACCATACACAAATATAAAAATCAGTTGTTTCATTTTGGTCCGTTACACTATCAATCACCACTTATCAATATAACCTCCGTCGAGTGNATATAAGTCATCAGCACCATAGTACTTAACCACATACACAAATTGTGTACACATCACAACATACCATACACAACTATAAAAATGAGATTCAATATGACAAACCTGCATACAGAATTTCTATTACCAGAATAAACACCGTATCAAAAGTTATAAAAATTAAATGAAAACAAGATCGTTTATCATTTCAAGAGAGAATGATACACTCACACACATCAAAAATTTAAAATGACATAAATTCCTCAACAGAGTAAAAAAAGTGTTTTAATACAAGATAGAATTCTTTGAAGTTCTAAGTCTCCCTGAGATTTATTATATTATGTAATGCTTAATTTTGTACAGTATACTTTTTGAGATGATGAATTTGAGTTTGTTCCCTGTTTAATATAGGGGTTTTTTTGGATCCATGTGAAGAGAAATGAAAGTTGCCTGATAAAGTTTGGTGTAGACCACTAGTATCAGTTTCAGTGAAATGAGCCATACAGGTGGCTAGGCAGACAGATAGAAATGCCCTCCCAGTTAGGCCTTCATTTCGGTTACTTGCTGGCTTCCCACTGCGGCGGCCTGGGTTCGATCCTGGGTCTGGTGAAGTGGGATTTGTGGTGGACAAAGTGGTGCTGGGGCAGGTTTTCTCTGCGTACTTCGGTTTCCCCTGCCAATCTTCATTCCACCAATTGTTCCACAATCACCCTCACCTATCATCTTGGGCTGGTACAATAGGCCAGAAGTGGCCACAGTACAAGGGACTTAGTCCCACCCCACTAGCAATATCAAAAAATAGGCCTTCATTTTATGCATTTGTTCAAAGAATGTGTAAATGGAGATGATTTTGTGCTGATTGTTTGAATTTAGAAGTAGCATTATAGAAGTCTCAAAATAAAATGATGCAAAGAGTTTATACTTACAAGACCTGTTAATGAATAGCAGTCTGTAACAAGATATCATCTGTGATTCCATATATAATGGTAGGAAATCTTCTCAAGGGTACTGTTTTCCCTTTTTTCTTCACTTTGTTGTCTATCAGATGTACGTCACCACTTAATATAGTAGAGAAGCTGAAATGTCTCACATTCTAAACTCCAAAACATTCTATTAACAGGATCTTTCCTTATACCCCCACTACATTTCTTCATCCAGTTAACTGCAGTTAATAATAAGTCAGTCAGGAATTCATTCTCATTGTTCTGACAGTAGGAACCTCTTGTTTTTGTTGTGTTTGATAGAACCAAAAACTGCCATTTGGATTGCCTTCAGCAGTTCTTGTTCAGAGAGTCTGTAAACATTCATCATTGTGGTTAAGCCATTCATTATTTTGTCACATGGTTGTCTTGTGTGTTTTAGACTCAGACGTGGAATTTAGAAACCTGATTAAAGTACTAATGAATATTATGACTTCTATAAAATGGTTGAAGAACATAATCTAAATCTGACTAGTTTTATTTTAATTCATATCAGGATTCATTTCCTGCTGTATTAGTAATATTTGTGGTTTCACACTATGAAATAATTTTGAAAGTAAATGTTAGTTTAATGGAAAATTTGACTAACCAAAATCTACTGTTCCCCTTACATTTGACCTAACAAAGATTTTGCTGTGTTATATTCCATTAGGAGGGAAATTTGTGGGAGAGCTTATCTCATATGTTCTGGTAAAGATTTGGGGAAATATAACACTATTTTAGTGATTCTTCTTGTAAATGTATGTTTTTTTAATTATCCATGATATTGTCATGATTTAGGGGTGTGACTGTAGATGGGGTATGGGTTGGTGAATGGATGTCCACTTATACACACGACTCGGAACTACAAGCACTTAAACACTATAGCTGACTTTCACACTTCACAAATTACCACAGCACTTTCTGAGCCTCCAGCCTGCTGTGTCTTGACCAGCCGTTCCCTGGCAACGGCTTCTACCTGTGGAGATTCTTCAGCTCTGGTCTTCTTGTCACAGTTGCCTTTGCAGAAATCCTGTCAGCTTTCAACACAATTATAGCACCATCTCTCCTCAGACTCCCTCGCAAAGCTCAACTGACTGGTTGGTTCTCTTCTTTTTATAACTCCTGGGCACAGACTGCATAGACAGCATCCCATTTCCTCTGTTTCATGCATAATCATTGCTGTGGGAACATGTTTACTGAGCCAATGACCAGAAATGGGTCCAGTTTAACCACCCATGTCACAGACATTGCATAGCAACAGCTATGCACACTACAATATGATTATAACTTACTTCCCAAATCATTTTTCCATGGTGTGGTTGGTCTTTTTATAAGTTCCAAAAATAAAATCTTTTTAGTATACTACGTTATTTTAACATATAACATGATCATAAACAATAACATTAAAAGTTAGAGCTACTGAATTTTATGTAACAGTATTCAAGTGAGTGACTTTCATGTAAGATTTGAGGTTTCCATGATGGTGACTATGAAGAAAGTCTTCTTCTGGGATGTAGTGCCATGTAGATATTGTGTTAACCGACATTTTGGAGGAACGTATCACCTCCGTCTTCAGGTCATAAGAAATCTGCGAGCAATGAGCCAGCGTGAGGAGTTGGCTGCAGCCACAATATCTACATGTTGCCACATCCCAGAAGATGGCTTTCTTTGAGTGACTTTCAGTTTGATTCCCTTATTGTTGTTAAAATACCTTAGGTTACAGCTTTCTAGCTTTCTTTTTCCTCTCTCAATTTCCAAACCTTTCTTATGCCTGTTATTTGTTTGGTTAGTTTTACAAGATACTAAACACAATATTTGCAGGGATTTCTTCATCATTCATACCAGTTTTGTGGTTAACCACATCTATTCCTGATGGCTGATTCCCATCTCATCCTAAAACTGAGATTTCTAATGCATGTAGATTAATAGACTTTCTCACACATTTATTATACATAATCTGCAGGATCTGCAATACATACTGACTTGTGAATGAGTTATGTCCACTAGCATAACTCCTATACTTTTTTTGTTCGCTTAGATATCATTTTAATTCTTGTATTGGGTTTTTACTGTGGTCTAGCTGGTAGAGTTAGGATGGTGTATCTTTTCAGTCTATGTGTAGTTTCTAGCCCTGACCTTATGCCTTAGTACAGGATTAGGAACTGTCGCATCTTTCGCTCCCCCCTGCAGGCTATGAAACAGAACACTGGAAGAATCATAACGAAAACTATATAAAAGCTGCTGAACTACAGGGTGGGGCGCAGAAACTTCCTTTTTTTGAAGGCGAATAAAAGAAAAAATATTGCAGATAGACAAAATTTATGTTTAGCTAATGAAAAAACAGACTTTAAAGTTTTAAATCATGTAGTTTTAAACAAAATATCCTGAAGGCAGTGGCACTGCACTGATGCAACCGTTTTCTGAATTTCCCCTCTGCACATTCCAACATGTGCACCGGAATTTGGGCTACTTACTGC